TTTGGGGGGGGGGGGGGGAATAAGCGGCGACTTAGGTATTTCTTCTCGAATTTTTGAGAGGACGACACACGCACTGGATTAGCCTCCCCCGCCTCCCACTTCTCCTTCAGCCTCGCGACGTCGACATATCCCAGCGGTTTGCGCTTGCGGTCGAGTATACTGGAGCAACGCGAAATGAGCGAACGCTTGGTCTCTTGCGCGAGAACAGACCACGCACGGGATGTAGGAGAAGTCTCGTTCGTAGGCGAGCTCTATGGCTCGAGAAACAACCTCTTCAGAAGGCAGCGCAAAGGCAGGTGGTAGCTGCAAGTCCTACGAAAGAAAATGAGCATGTTGCATAGTGTTCCACCTACAGAATATGCAATACCTCGACAACCGCCCCGCGATACTTGTCTGAGGATAGCAGCGGGAAACCGTTGGTCTGCTGAGATTCGGTTACTGCTGAAGTTGCGGCCATTGGTGAGGAGAATGTCGGTGCGCAGGTTATTCGGGGAATGCTGGAATAAGTGGACAAGCCGCCGAGAAGGATCAGGCCATTTTGTGCTCGTACAATCTCCTCGTCCGCCGTGACCCCTTCTGTTCATGGCCACGGCAACGGCCGAGGTGGTGGTACATATGTACACTGGTAGTCACTCGATCTTACCTCGGTCCCAACAGCGCCTGTCCATTGCAACGTGCACACTGGGGATACATTCTTACTTGCAGCTCATCGGCCAATCTACATCGATCTGAAGTCCGTCTCAAAGCGATAGAAAACTAGATTAAGGTGACAACAATATCTACAGCTCCATTTTGTCTTCCTTCTCGTACCCAGGATTTTTATGGAGAATTACGAAACCTTCTAGGACGTGAGCAAATGGTATGAACTCTTCCGTTGCCAGCTCTGCCCGCTCCGTCGTGCCTATCCGGACGGGAGTTGAGTGCGTCTGGAAGCCAGATATGGTTCGTGGTTTGCCGGCCTGGCCGACTACATCAACAGCCTACATTCGGCTGCTTAGCCTTACCAGCACACCAGTAAGGTTGAAGATACGCACCTGGCCAACCCGTACAGTCACAGGGAAGGGCTTGAGCTCCTCGTCCAGAGTAATTAGGAACCTTGGGTACATCGCAGTGACAAGGAAGTACACCATCCAGTGATACTTGTCCAGCACAACTGGATTCGTGTTTTAAGTACCCTCATGTTGACCATGAAGAAGACGAGCTTACAGCCTTTGGCATCCGTAAACGCGACCAGTGTTGCCAGCAGGCCAGCGACGGCTGTTCTACTCATGATATTCCGATCCGAGAAGAATGGGTTGATTGTGATCGTGCCCTTGCCCATATGCACCAGCCCTTGCGCTATCCGCACCATGAATAGGCAGTCAGGCTCCTTGTAATAGTAGCCTGCCAACTGTCGCAACATCTGTGCCAACCGTGCATTGTTCGTCCCTGCACCGACAAGGCCCATCGCGAAGATAGCGTTCAGTGCCACGGCAAGGTCATTGTCGTGGCTGTATTTTGAAAGCGTATCCAGAACAGGAAGCTGGGGATTTGAGGCGCTGAGAAGACCTAGCGCAAGTGGGACTGTCTTACGAATAACGGGCTCGCCGTAGTGCATCTACCGCCAGCCATGTAACCATGAATATTTTGCGGTGTCAAAATTAGACACATACCAGATGATTGAGTGTTCGCATCGACATCTCCGCGCCGACTTCTTCGCCCATCGCTACCAGTGCGATTCCAAGCACCGCAAAGGCTTGAAAGGTGTCATCTTGAGGAGGCTCCTCGGGCGCATCTTTGTCTTTGTCCTTTTGATCCTTTGTCGTCTTTACGATATGCTCGTCACATAGGTGCAGCATCGACTGAACCTTCAATACTTCGCCCGAGCCAGCATATGAACACATGTCAACCAGCACCACAGCCTGTTTCGAGATCGGGTGCTCTACAGCTTTCAATGTCTCGATGGTTGCGTCCGAACCATCCTGCAAGCCTGTAGACAACAGTAGGTCTGCTACTAAGCAATTAATTTTTTTGACAATCATGCTTACCTAGGTATAGCAGCGCCAGTCCGAGGATCATGTACCGTGCCCATTTCTCCTCGAGCTGCTTGTCTTCCCTCTCCATTAGTGTCTGTAAGATGGTGCTCGCAATTTCTCCGTTACCACTACCGACGAAAACGAAACCAAGAGCAAGCGAAGCTAGTGAGGCAATCTCCATTGAAACTGCATCATCTGAAACTTGGGGCAAGAGTAGTTGGAGGATATCTTCGCGATGGGAACCCGCATATGCAAGGCCCAAACCAGTGATCGCACTAGTCTTGAGGGGAACAGACTTGTTTTCTACGTAATCACCTAGCAATGCAAGGGCTGCATCGGCTTCTGTCCGAACGCCCGTGTTGAGTATACCTGTTGCCAAAAGAGCACCGGCCTAATCACGTTCAGTTGTTGGAAGTCATCAATACAAGCATTGCTAGCCCACCTTGATGTGTTCTTCTGCAGAGTAAGTATACTTATCTACGTGACTCAGACCAACATCTGTGTCCCAGAGCAAGCTAAGTCCTAGACTGGCCGCGGCACTCATCATACCTATTCTTTCAATCAGTATTTCGTAGAGACAAATGGAAATCACGCATACCGTGATCCTTGTTTTTATAGATCCAGCTGTTGCCCTCCTCCGCCTCAACCATAAGTTTGTCATTTCCGAAACCAGCGTTGACGAAAGCGTTGACAAAGGTGCCAGCCAAGTTACCTCGCGCTGAATCTACATTTGCGGCTGTGGACGATCCTTCGCACAATACATGAGCAATGCATGATCCTCGGGCCATGATATGAACAAAATCACGACGCACTTGTATTCTCAAGGTGTGACTTGTAGACATCTTCCAAACTCTTCGCCTCAGAAACACCTAGTTCCTTTCCAAATTCACGGAAGTGCTCGCTCAAGTGCGTATTGCATAGGCAGTCTATAATATCCTCCGGCAATTCAGACTCGCCGTCCTCAGCTCCGTCCTCGCTCGCCTGGGGTTCTAGCCATTCACGAGGAATCTGAGCACGAGCTAAAAGGAAGGCAAGTTGACGTTTCATGAGGGGATTCGCAGGGGCATTGAAATCACGGCGAATGAGCTCCGGGTCACCCAGTCGTATTGCCAGTGAAAGCGCTTGCGGAAATTTGTTGTGCTGTCCGTATATGCTATGCGCAGCTTTCAGAAAGGCACGATCATCTGGCGTAGGAAGTAAGTTGACACATCTGCAAAGATACGTTAGTGGGCACTCTACTCTCAATTTGTAAACCTACCGAATCATATACTGACATACTCGCTCGTATGTGTTCTCGTCAACAAGCTCCGCTATTCGGTCCACAATCTCAAGCTCCTGCAGCAGATCCACGGCGTCCGGCTCTGCATTATGGTGCAGCAAAAAGGTCGCGCATTCCATGGCCAGTGACCGCAGCTCATCCGTGGTACCCGGAACAACCGCAGGTTTCTTCTTCACCTCCTTCTGGTCGCCCTCTTTCTCTTTGTCCTCGCCATCAAGGTTCGCCTCTGTCTGTTCCTCTACCTCTACATCCTCACCTAATGTTCGTGCGCTATACTCTTCTCCGAGCTCAGCGGCGAGGTGTCGGACATATTCATGTCCCCATAGGCCAGGATCAGTCAATGGCGATGATTCGGGTCTAAGCGAAGCCGAGAGCAAACGGTAGCGGAGGGTCCCTCGAGGTTCGGAGTCGGAATAAGTCATGGCAAGGACGGATAGGATGTCGGCAAATAGACTCTGGAACTAGATGAGTAAAACCCACAAGGAACTTATTGAACTAACCTTGTCATCCGAAGGTGGCCATGCTTCATATAGTGTCTGCAGACCAGGATAATGTTGATGGAGGAATTTGAGAGGTTTAGGCACGGATGTCATAGACGATGTCGAAGTTCTAATTAATGTTCGCAATGTCTCGAGCGCAGGTCGATACAGACTGGTATTGGATTCCTAGGCAATATTGAAGTCCAACGGACGTTACTTTACAGCAAGGCATCGTACCTTCAAACGTTCTACAAGCATCTCCAACTCATTCTTGAGCTGAAGATCTTCCTCTGACTGTGTATTGTCTATGGTCGATATCACTTCAGAAACACCCATTCACAAACGTACCAATTCCTCTCCCTGCTTCTCTTCTCCCTTCTTCTTAGGGTCTGTCTGCTCATCCGTGCTCTCTTTTTCGTTCTGCTTCTTCTTCTTTGGATCTTCCGAGGTCACTGGAATAGCTACTGTTGGCTCGGGCATAGTGGAAGCTGTTCACGGCAATGAGAGGACTGGGTGGAGGTAATGGACGCGACGCGTACGCGTTCAGTGACACTTCACGTCACGCGACTACACATAAGATAATATAAGCTTACGGATTGTACTATGTAGTCGGTCGTAAACAATAGAACAGTTCACAAGGTAACATCCAAATAACTTAGTATCGGCAAATACTTGGCATTAAATTGTGATCGTCATATTGTGGTCTTGTGGCTATTGAGTACAATGCGAAGGACGACGTCCTAACAAAACACAAAACACATCCAGGTCCAGTCCAGACAACACACGCCCCCATTTAGTTTTTCCCGATAGAATCTTGCAGCGCCTTGAGATATCGAAAGACAGCGTTGACCCCCTCTCGTACCACATCTGCATCCTCCTGCACCACCCTCTGCAACAGAACGGACAACTTGTCCGGATGCCATCTGAGGATCGACGCCCTAATCCGTTCACGTTTGGTGATAGTATTTCCACGCACGCGGAGGGGAGCTAGTAGAAACTCTTCAACGGCACCTGAATGAAGCTCATCCATCGAGTGCGGTGAATGAATCACTGGCCATGGTATATCTGCAAATGAGATAGGTGTAGTCGCTGCAATGAGTGTACGCCAGCGCGTCTCGTACGCGTTCCACCGCGTCATAAGCCGTTGTTCCTCATCCAGCAGGCGGATCTCTGCGCGCAGTTGCTCTGTACGCACCACATCCCGACGTCCGAGCGCGTCACGAAGAGAACCGCCCGCTCGTACCCAAGCCATCTCGCCAACCAGTGCTTCAGTGCGCTCTCGTTCAAGGCGTTCCGTGCGCCGTTGCGCGTCGCGGCGACAGCGCTCTTGCCAAGCTTCTTCTTTCCATGTAGCTTCTGCAACAAGCTTGGCCCGTTCTAGATGTTCTTGAAGTACGCGTGGTTCCTCCGCTATGAGTTGGTTGGTCGCAGACGCGAAATGCGTACGACTATCGGAAGCGGGTGGAGGGAACGCGAAGTAGCCTTTTGTCCACGGTATGGATGTCTTAAGGAGAGAGGACATAGGCTGCACATTCTCGTCAGAATAACCTCTAGTATAGCTCATACGGCTAGCACGTAGTAACGGGAATGCGTTATCGTTGTCCAAAAGCGAGCGAAGGAGGTCGAGTGGCTGCGACAGTCACAAACCTTCCAATTTGGGATAGCCTCTGGCGCAGGGCAAAATCTGTGCGGGCCGTTAAGTATCAGATTACATACATCCGCAATTGTATGCACGACGCACAACTCGTACTTAGCAAACAGAGATGCAGAGGCTCGCACAACACAGAATCCATCCTTTCCATTAAGAGGAAGTGGACCCTTTTCGAGACTCAAGAAATCGAATTTTATGACCTAGTGGAAGGCTTGATAAATGCGCCTTTCGCAGCTTTAGAAAGGCAAAAGGCTACTCTCAGCTATGGAAAAGGGTTAGATTCTTACATTGCGTTATTTAAAATCTTATTGCACAATTCCAATGCTTTTCGCGTGCCTTTTGATAGGACTCGGATAATGTCTTTGCAGTGTCGATATCATACATTCTGGTAGGTGCTACCGGAGTCCGTTGGAAGATCAGCTCCGCCACTGGCACCTGATTTATCGCTCTCTTCACTGCAACATCCAGGAATTAGTTCATTCTAGCTTTGCACTTAGTCTCACTAGGATACCGAGAATATTAGCTGCTTATCACAGAACACAGATCATACAAAACTCAAAGGATAGCAGTGCACGTTGCATTAATAGGGATTATATTGGTTCTAAAGTAGTTGTAACAATGAGCACGAAAACATCTTCAGATTATGTAAGTAGTACTTAAAGCATCAGCAACGCTCGAAAACCCGGTACAGATCCGGCAGGTTCGCCACCTGGACTACATCCCTGTCCAAAAGCGACTTCGGTGGGACGAGGTACCGCGCCATCGTTGGGAACAGCATGTGCTGAATTTGCCACCTCATCGCCTTCTCCTCGCCTTTCTCCTCGCCGCCCGTCGCCTCCGCTGAAGCAGGAAGCAGAGGCTCTGAGACATAGAAGAACGCCAACTCACGAAGGAATGTCTCAAAACATTCCTTTTCGGAAGTCCATGCGACCTTGCGGCAAGAAAGTCAGGGCACTGCAATATTAAATTCAGTCGAATGGCAACTGCTCACCTGAGGGCCAAGTCGCATAAGGAAGAGTGGGAGCTTGTCTAAATTCGGGATGTAGTCTCTCAGTAACATGGGAATGGTCTGAACGGTCCCCTCGTCCGAGATACAAAGCGAAAAGTACTCTTGAAGCATTTCTCGCCGCGAGACTATGGTGTCCACTATGTGCTATGGACTACTGCGTCAATCTAGGATCAAGGTTGACCTGAGCGTTCACGCACATCCACGATCTGCGGCCTGGTCATGCTGCTACGTTCGATTCCCGGTTCAACATCGACCGCGAGAGCAACGAGCTTTCGTAGTGGCGGCTGGGGTTCCAGCTTCAAACGGCTGAAATTGCCGAACTGACGTAGGCCGAGTTGATAGAAGAGCTCCTCTCTGAATGCCGATAGTTAATTCATTGAAAGGCATAATCACGAAAAGTACATACGCGAGTGCGCCATGATTGACCAGGTATAATTTGGTTGAATGTTGGATGAGCGACAAACATCGATGAATGTCCACGATACCAACAAAAGTATGCTTCTCCAGAATCTCGCTCAGTTCTTGAAATGATCCGTCAATATGAAACCAAATTATGTCCGAAAGTCAGTGTTACTTACGACTATGTTTACCCCTCTGCACTTCTTGCCGTAAATTTCGAACAGAGGTCAAATAACATTGGGATTCCTTGATCTCGCGGACCCTCAGTGGCTGCAGGATGGGCTCGTCAGTGGGAGTATTGCTCGTCCCAGCACCGTTGTGAGCTGGTTGTGTGGGGTTGACAATTGGAAACATTGAATCCAATGTACGGTCCTGCATCGAGGTTCGCACTTTGTGCTGCGATAGGGTCTTCTTGGCTTGAGCGGGGGCTACAAAGTTATTCAGCTTTGTCTCCGTTATAAATCAAGAAGATGTACCTGTGGACGTAGAGGAAGAGCTGTCGTCTCTACTCAAAGACGAGGTGCCACCCTCCTTCTCTGGCTGTTCAGGCTTAGCTCTCTCCTTACTCTTACCCTTGTCATGTTGCTCAGCCACACCGCCTGTGAGCAAAGTCTGCAACATCGTTAATCCAAGAGTGATAAGACTGGTTGATGTTCCAGACCTGATATTCAAATGACCGTGACTGATTCTGCTCAACGAGTTTCTTCTGCATAGCGTCAGATATTTGCTCGATGATTGCCTCCTCGTTCAGGAAGTGCACTTCACGTTTAGTTGGATGAACATTGACGTCGACAGAACGAGGGTCAATATGCAAGCTAGATTCATCTGACAATAAGCTATGCGAAGTTCAACTGAGTCATGGAGTCTACCTCAAGTAAATGAACGGCGCGGCACCCTTTGGTAAGATGCCAGCGTAGATGGATTCCAAAGCCTTTTGAATCCGTGTTGAATCAACTAGACGGTCTACAAGCAGGTTGATGAGGACATGTGCTGTACGTATTGTGTGCTTACGGTTTATGAACAATAGCATAACTGTCTTCTTGCCTTGATAATGTGGACTGGTGAAATGAGCTTCTGCTGACCAGGAACTCGAATCCTCATTGTCATCGTCAGAGTCTGGCGTGGAGCTTGACTGAGTTGAGGACGAGATCGACGCATTCATCAGATCCTTGGCAATCGTCTGACCATACAGTAGCCGAATAGCCTGAGCAGTAGTTGAGGCTGAGGGAGTGGACACATCAGGAGATAAAGATCCTGCCTAAATGTGGCATTAGCGTTGTATATGGAGGTGGCCCTGGTGCCAAAATATTCGCCGATAGCAGACGCTTACTTTCCTGCAAGTGAAGGATACGTGTGGGTTGTGAATTGCATATTTGGTCACAACATCAAGTATACGAGCGTATTCCTCAGAGGAGCCGCGTAGAGCGGATAGACGAGTTGGTGTGTTATAGAAAAGATTTTCAACCTAAGCACCAAGATTCGACTCAGCACTGCACATATGCCCCGGACCTGGGCGCATACATACCGTGATAGTGGTGCCATCATTCCCTGCACACGGTTTTGGCTCAGACGTTGCCCCTGCTTTCGGCGCAGTTAACACGCCATCTGAGTAAACGGCCCTGCCGGATCGTAAGCTCTGGATGCCGAAGCGCATGGTATATTACTGACTTCCATGCGCAAGTCTCGGCTTTTGTCTTTGACACGACAGATAACTGAGCAACATAGGAGATGGAAGCAAGTGCTTCTCCCCTAAAACCATACGTCGTCAAACGTGACAGGTCCGCGAAGGTTGATAGTTTGGACGTGGTGAATCTCTCCGCGAGGATGGGAAGGTCAGTTTTCTACGAGCATTTTCTGTATCAAGCACATATAAATCCACGAGTGAAGCCATGACGAACCCTTATGCCACAACCATTATCCTGTATAGAGAGGAGTTTCATACCACCATCTTTGATGGTCACGCGTATCGATGTTGAGCCCGCATCGAGAGAATTCTCGATAAGTTCCTTCAGGGCCGAAGCCGGTCTATGAATGATCTACATATCGCACAGATTAGTGCAGACTATAGTAATACAGCGCATGTCTTTTACCTCACCAGCTGCGATGCGGTTAATCACTGTTTGCTCCAGGCGACGAATAGGAAGTGGTTCCGGAAATGGAGGTGTTATAGAACGAGGTCGTGCGGCTGGCATATCCTGTCGTGGCATGAATTACTCTTTCTGTTTGAAAGAATTCCCGTCGAATTTCTTCAAGGGAGACCTGGTTGTGCAAGGTTCGCGCGCTGTTCAGAATATTTGAAGAATCATTAAACATTCATCAGGGTCGATCCGCACTGGGCCAGCGCTAACAATAATAACAAACGAAGCATATTTGAAATGGAATGTTCCTTCGCTGCCACAGACATGCATTTGCTTAATAATCAGTAGTCAAATCTATGTATGGGACTTACGAGAAATCACATGTGAATTCACGAACACTGGCAGCTCAGGTCTATCAACAACGAATATACATAACGCATAGCGAAATACACGAAATACTACCAAATAAAAGGACGAGAGCCAGACGGTGCCAAACCAGAATCAGACAATGCAAGACGGAAGGATGACGACGATCGCGACAATGCAGGGGTACGATGGCAGGAGACAAGGGCGCAAAGCTGACCGACCACACCCCCATCCGGCCAACCCATTCCTCTACGGTTCGATTCCGTCATCATTTCTGGCAGCGTTTCATGGCCTTCTGGCGCATGCCATTGTTCACCATCTCCTGGAAGGTGTCCCAGAAATTGGTCCATTATATTTCTGCCGAAAATAGGCCGCGCTTCGCGGTTTGAGAGCAAGAGGGTCAGTGGTCTGAGTCGACACCATCTGAAGCTTGTAAATCTCCTCGTCGGTATCCTCGAAACACACTCAAACATGGTCTGAAAACCCGGCCCCCTCTTCCACTGCGCAGAAGTTAAGGGATAGTTGATCACAAGTTCCTGCATTCTATCACTTCAAGTGACTCGGACTTGAGCGCAGAGAATAACCGACTCACAACAACGTTGTCTTGTCTCATGTTGGTGTCCCTGTTGCCCATGTCCCTCATCCGCTTCAACAGTATGAGGCCTGTTGAATGACTGCGAAATATGTTAAGATCAGCATGGGGCAGAGGTGAGGCTCGTTGATTATTTTCCAGCATACAAAATCGAACATCGCGCCAAAACTCGGTCGTTGAAAGTATTTCTGAAATTCAAGGGTGAGCCTCTCCTCAACACCTGGGTCCTCAGGACATCCAAGTACGTCTTTCGCTCTTCATCCAACTTGAATGTGGGCACCGGCTGACATCGGTCCTGACCTTGGGAAATTCCTTCATATCCAACAAGAAGGCTTGCGCTGTCGAATGAAGCACAATACCATGGAACTTTTAGACAGCGTTTACAAATAGTCCTCTCCTCGCACTCTCAATGATCCCTAGGGTCTAGAAAACCGTGCCGCGATTTTATATTTCCCATATCTGGTTGCCAATGCTCTGACTATTCACGCCGGCTGCTACTTCAACTCCCGAGGTCAGCCATGTGAGCTGACCAAATTTCTCCATGTCTCGGTCAGAAAAGGCTTACTGGCATAGCTGGTACAAGGTGACAAGTGGACTGCTGTGGAGGCGGCTGGGCAATTTAGTGAGAAGGATGTTTTCATCACCGTTTCAGTAATGACTATGCCCATAACCCAAATCAACTTATGAGAGACGCGATTAGGGGGACAGCTTGCCTAAGAATCCCCAACTCCGATAATTTAACCTCCTTCAAGAAAGCAATGTAGTATTCACGAGATGCGTTCTTAAATAGCTGCAATCAATACAATCAATATTAGTCAATGTTGGCGTTTCCGCCTGAACTGCACGCACCTAAGCATTCGGTGGATTTGAAGTCTGCAGATAGCCTTCCAAAAATTGTGATGGACTACCTCAACTGCGTTCCCACCTTTGGGTAACTTTGCAGACGAATCGTCCCCGCAAGTCGACATGGGGCTCTCCAACAA